CCTATCATGTCATTTTATGTGACACTTGTTATGGTTGACAACAGAAAATATTCTTCAAATTTTTTGAAACAGTACGAGACCATTCCGGTTCCATAAATCTGACTGTAGGGAGAGCGGTGTCGTAACTCACTCCTAATGGTCCAAAAATCTTTCGTATAATAACGCATGCTGAGGAACTATTAAAATGTTATTTTAAGAAGAATTTACTTCTCAACTGCCTACCCAATGCAAAGGAATACTTATTGCTAAGGTTGGTTTTCAGTGTATCTCTTCTTTCCAGATATAGTACATTCAACTGCGACGTTATGATTATAAAGCGCAAAGTACTCGTATGAAACAAGGCTAGAGGTCGCAGTCTGTTTACTTACTTTATGCTCGTATACTTTGTGTGATGCAAAAGAAATTTCAAATTTCACATACGATCTCTTGCGTTTTGGGTTATCATAATGAATCCATTTTTCATTGCCAGTGACAATCCGATGCAAAAATTACTTCTTTTGGTGGCATTGAAGCAACATTTCCGACATGCAGAATCGACGTTCGACGTCTCTTGGCTTTAATTCATAAGGCACCCAATTTCCAAGCTTCTGGATGAATCCTAATAATTTTAATCGTCTGAAAACGGTTGCTCGATCAACTCCTAATACTTTTGCAAGTTCTTCTTGCATCTTGCATGCATCTGCGTCAAGCAATGTCTCCAATTCTTCGTCTTGAAATTTTTTTGGCCGTCCGGGTCGTTCTCCGTCGTCTAAGTCGAAATTGCCACTTTTAAACCGTGCAAGCCACTTTTGACACGTTCGTTCGGCTAAAGCATGGTCACCATAAACGTCCAGTAAAATACGATGGCTTTCTGTAGCACTTTTCTTCATATTAAAGTAATGAAGAAGAACTCCCCGCAAAAACACTTTATCTAGTACAAATTTCGACATTTTCAATTGAATGAAACAAATTTTTGTTCACGCTAAAACAAATGACATCTACTGAAAACGACGCGAAATGACAGTACCTTTGAAATGAATATAGCCACAGATGAACACGACGCGAAATAATACTAGTAGAGCCCTCTCTTAGAAAACCGCACGAATTAATGCATACACCCAATATATACATGAGTAAAAAGTACCGTTATATCCCTTCAAGACGGAAAGAAAGATCGAAAGTTCTCTTCAATATCGTAAAAGAGTGGTACTACCAATTAATAGTGATCAAGTTTCATTAACTTATATAAATGAGACTTTTAACCGGAATACCTATGCCCTGATGGTGGTGTCCATGTATTTTTAAAGGTTGCACAATAAACGCAGTGTACTTGACGCAGAAGCATGAACATCTAACGATAAAGTAATATAAGCCTTGCAGTACTGGCATCAAAATTATGTGCACAATAACAACAACAACTTATGTACACAACTGCAATTATAAGTAAAGCACTTGCAACAGGCAATCAACCGCATATACACACCACAGGTACACATCTTTATATACGATGACGTATATATGTGCTTTGCTTATATAAAATTATTAACCAGCCGATGATTTCTTTGCACAGAATGCATGAAAATAATCGCAAACAATACGACTCATGACGATATTGTGTTAACCACGATGCTTTTTATATCAGGGTATAGTGAACTTGCAGTCTTAAAATCCTCACCAAGTGTTCAGTAGTAACGGAAAAACGAAAACAGAGTAAGCGATATCAATAAACTAATTACACATCTTATTTAAGACATATTATACCCCAAAGCTTTATATGACATTATGAATAGTTAAATTAAGCCTTTATAATTTACCGATTTATGGTTTCCTAGAAAATTTTGGACAACGTTCACAAAACTTTTCCAGGCGAATTTTTTTCTGATCATTCAGTATTTCTTTAAAGCTCTTATCCTTTACCAGTTGCCGTATTTGTGGACCTACATATAAATATTCTCTTTAGTTTGGGCTCGCTAAGTTTGGGGAATTTCTTTTTCAGATATACAAATCCATTGCCATCTCTAGGCATGGCTTTTACAAAATTTTTTTATTAGGCCGAACATTATGTATGTACAATGGTGGTACAAGAATGTCATCAAGGCTCACTAAAGCATAATTTTTAACATTTTTATGGCCTGGAGTGAGTGACTTATATATAGTTTAAAAAAAATACCAAAAAACACGCTTTTAAACAACTCAAACTAAAAAGTAAAAAATAATTCCTTATATAAAGTGACGGAAATATTGACGATATATATATATTACCTGCATTATTATGAGAAAAGTGTGATGTGCTCTACGAAAAATATGGCACAAACCATCACACGCTTTTCTCACAATAATACAATTATTTTTCGGTCAATATTTCTGTCAGGTTATACAACAAATTATTTTTCACTTTTAGGTTTGAAGTGGTTTATAAGCGTGTTTTTTAATTTTATATATTTATTTTCACCTTTTAGATTAATGGGTTTTTAAGAGCATGTTTTTTAGTATTTTAAACCATACTTATTATTTAGCCAAACGTGTTGTTTTCACTTTCTTTAAGGATGCATTTGAGTAAATTTTTTATTCGACTGACAGCATAGATAGTTGATGCTTTTAGCTGAATAGTTTTAGAGGTATTTTTAGGCAGGATGCTTTTAGTTGCATGGTTTTATACTCATTGTTCGATTTCGCCTATTTTACTAGTGTGTGATAGGAATGGCTGGGTAACCTCACGTACTAAATTCGGTTGAATTTAGTTTGATATAGTTCCTGAGATATAGGATTTCACCTAAAAGTTGGAGCTGCCACGCCCATTTTCCAATTTTTACACCTCCTCCTATAAAGTTTCCTTACAATCTTGTTTGTGAAATTTAATGCTTATGTCACATTTATTTAGTAAGTTATCGTACCTTTAGTAGTTTTCAAAATAAAATTATGAAAAATTGCTAAAAAGACTTTCTCCCGGCAAATTTGGTTGTGTTAGCTTCAGCGATTTGAAATATATGTACATTAAACCATTTAGGGGGAGAGGCTACGCCCACTTTTAAAAACACTTTAACCAATAGGTTTACCTTGTTACCGCGATCCCCTGTACCAAATTACAATTCGGTATCTTAATTTAGTGCTTAATTATGGCACTTTATAGGTTTTCTTTTAATGACGTTTTGTGTGCGTGGTAGTGGTCCGATTACGCCCATCTGCAATACTGGCCTCTCTTGTGCCAAGGAACATATATATGTAGCAACTTTCATCAATAAACCGCAATTTATACTGAAGTTATCGCTTGCACAGGAAAAAGTTACACACATACCTACAAACGTACAGGTGAAGCTAATTTAAAAGTTATAAAAAAGGAATACAATAAACTAAGTCACCTGCTTTAGAAAAGTAAAGTGTTATTTCATCGTCACGATGTCGAAAAAAAGAAATTTTCGTATCAGGTAAATGTAAATTCCAGTCGTACAATCTATACCCCAAAACCTCAGATTGTCTTTTAGACAGATTTAAATCACGTACTTAATCGTTTAAATAACTTTGTGTCCATAAATGCATTTCCCTTATTTGAGTCAAACAAAAATAACACCGATCCTTTGGTTGGGTACAAACCTTTGGGTTAGCAAATGGTATGTGCCTGGGTTTTGGTTTTGTCCAACCTAATAGCAGTCATACACGATGATTCTTCACAGGAAATCTAAAATTGTTTAAATAGCACTGTTCAATTAATGACGTGAAATTACGACGCTGGGATTTAAGTAACAGTAAAATTCTCCAGTTTTAATTCTCCACACAAATAACAAAAACTGTCAAAATATTCCGTACAGAACTTGATTCTGATCGGTCAGGTTGTATGACAGCTATACCATAAGTGATCCGAACTGAACAATTTCTGCAAAGATCGCATCATTGCCTTAAACAATAATCTATGTCTAATATCGTTAAGAAAGTTTTTCATACAAGAACTTGATTCCAATCGTTCAGTTCGTATATCGGCGGTTCCGACAAATGCGACGCATCTTAGGGACGTGTGCAAAATTTCAAATCGATATCTCGATAACTGAGTGACTAGATCGCGTATATATAGACCGTAGACAGACAAGGCTAAAGAGACTCCGTTCGTCATGTTGATCATATATATATATATATATTTTATAGGGTCTCCGACATTTCCTTTTGGGTGTTAAAAACATCGTATACCCTGTTTAGGGTATAACAATACACGTATATGGTGTATTTGAGCTGTTACAAAAAAAAAACTGGACGTGACTGAAAAAAGTTATTATATATTGTTAATGACGGTACACCAACATAAACAAAAATCACCACAAAGTTCGGGTTCCATGGACGATCATGAATATTACTAAAGCACTTGGATGTAATTGAAAATAATACAATACAAAACAATTTGTTTACAATCCAAAAGTACAAAGATTTATTAATTATGCCTCTTTTGGCAAAAATATATTGTAAGTCGCTCTGATTACTTTGACATTAAAACAAAACGTACGACGCGCAGAGTACAGGCTATATAAAACCTAAATAGAAGTTTGCTAACACTAAATGAATGAATAAAAAATTGCCCAAGGTCGTAGGCCCATCATCAGAGGCAAAGTGGTCTTGAGTGTGCCAATGCTCATGCGCGTTTTTGCATCTACTCGCACATTGCATTTACAAATTACAAAGATACATATTTATACATGGCATGTATGTGCGTGTTGACTCTTTTCAGTCGCGTTTATTATACATGCAACTAACCGCGGAGTAACTGATTGGGCCATGCGCGCATTTTCGCAACTTTCATTTCGCTTTTCGTTGAATATTTTACACACACACACAATTGTTGTTGGATAAATTTCAGTAAACAATGTGCATTTTTCTTTGTTTCCGATAATGACCCAGGGAATTTTATATAGACTCTAAGATCAATCAAGAATCTCAAGAAATGATCAGACCTCGCCTACTTATTAAGTTTACTGTAAAACTACCAATTCTACGCGGGTTACCTTTTAAATTTCGGGATTAGAGAACAAAAACAAATATTAATCATCGAAAATCCCTTTATTGTTTTTCTAAATATCCTCCATTAAGATTTATACACTTTTACATGTGTTTGAACAACTGTCGAGGAACTTTTGGCACTCTGATTGAGGAGTCTCTAAAACATGCGTTCTGAATGCATCAACCGCCCCTTATATTTATTTTTACGTGCGTGAATAAAAAGAAGTGATTCGGTGCCAAGTCAGGACTAAGCGGTAGATGACTCATAAAATCGATGTTTTGGGTGCTCAAAAATGCAGTTGTTTCAGTTGATGTGTGAGAGTCTGCATTGTCGTGCTGAAAGGTAATGCGCCTTCGGCGGATGGTTTCCCTGTTTCTTGAAATACAGCTGAAAAACAAATGGTTATGTACTACTCAGAATTTACTGTTCTGCTGGTATGGTTGCGACACGTCCAGTTTTTCCCGAAAAAACATGCAACCATTTGCTTGGATGTGCTTCGTTCGCAAACAACTTTTGGCTCATCTGCAAACACCCCTATAGTCGACTACTGTTAACTTTGTTTATTTTCGGGGTAACACGCGTAAATCTACAATTCATCACCTGTCACAATGTCATAGACGTGTTTTGAAGCACCGCTATCGTATTAAGCTATTGCATAGCTTTTATCGCGGCCTTTCAGCGTGGCGACCGAATCAAGACATTTCGTAACGGAAATAAACCTAACACAATCGCAAAGTATGCGCAAAATGTTTGCATAACTTTAGGCGTATTTTCGCATATCTCAAGTGGAACAAATCAATTGAAGAGATATTAGTAACATTATTATTATTTTGGTAAATAGCTACCCCACCTTTTTGAACATTATTTCGTTTGAATTGAACAGTATTATTGAAATCAGGTATTTCAATCTGATTATCAATGGTAATAAATTTCTAATTATCTTGGCTGGCGATTTCAACATCAACTTCGCTGATAAAATATATGAGCGGTTGACAACTTTTCTTTTGGAAAAATTAAATTTGAAAATGAATAATGATCCACAAGACTCCACAACAAAATATGGGACCACCATTGCCGCGGTATTCTTCAGATATTTAGCGGATATCTAGTCTCAAACTTATGTTTCTTATTTCAGTTAAAATAAACCTATTTCAATGATAAAAATTCCTGACTAACCTACATGTATTGTAAGATAATAAAAATATGTTTAGCAATATTAACTTACCAATTATTTAATAAAAGAAAAAAATTGTTTTCTTATCGGTCACCACGCTCAAAAAGTGTAACTTGAATTAATATCAAAGAAACAACTTGAATTAATATCAAAGAAACAGCTTGAATTAATATCAATGAAAAAAAAACTATTGAATAAAAAATAAAAAAATAATTATTATTGCATAAGTTGATACAAAAATGCTATGCAATATCTTTACCGCGGCAGTCCCGGAGTGCCGCACCTTTTTTTTTTTATTATTATTTTTTAATATTTTTCTCGACCAATCGACACGAGCTTTTTTTAACGATTGACCAATTGTGTGGGATCCGACGTGACCAAATTTTTTTTACAATAAAATGTTCATGAAATATTGAATGTATGCTGTTCTTACTAGTTGTCCTAATCTCACGACGGATCAGTTCGCGTACAGCATCAATAGTTTCCGGAACAACAACTGATTTTGGACGACCTTCTCGAAATTCGTCTTGCAGTGATCTACGACGATGTACGCAAGAAAATGTTTGCGATTTAATTCTATTTTTTGGTCAAGATGAAAATTTTAAGCTACTGTAAACAACAATAACTGCGCGGGTATGTCAAAACGTTCTGAGTATGTATAACATCAAAAATGTCAAACTTCACAGTAACGTTGTAAGTTGTCAGATTGCAGCACCACAATAATAATTTTAACCGCAAGGATGATACAGTAGACTTACCTACATCCCCAGAAAAAATTTAAATATTCACCGGCCTGAAATTTATTAGTACCTTCTTATGATACGGGTTGAAATTGATGTGATTTGTTGTTTGAATTTACAGAAGTTAAATCAGACATAAATAAAAATATCGACTGAAAACTTACCAATGACATGTGACACCACTGACACTAAAATCGTCGAAATCGGATCTTGAGTTTCCCTAGTCTCCTATAATAAATTTGAAGATTTCCAGCTTTCTAGTTGTCTTCATATCGTATATAACGGTGAATATATGATATATCTTAATATTGCTAGTTGATAATGTATTTGTGAAAGAAGAAGAAATCGGTTAATATATGAATCTACCTAAATTTAGTAGGCATATATGCTTTATAAAAATAAATATGAAATGATTGCGTCCGTAATAATTCAAAATCATACCTAGACTAGCGAAAGACATGAACATACAATATAATTATGTGTATATATATAAACCTATGTACAAACTTGTACAAGTACATATATATGTATTGTATATAATAAACTCGCATGCAAGCCTTTGCTTATGCTTTTATATATAATATCTCATCTAATTACTGCCTAAAGGTATTCACCTCTGAATGAAAAGGCTTATATATTTGAACAATTGCAAGTGTTACTGACTTTATAATTTAAAGAAACTCAGTTACTTATCTTATATTCAACCTTATCATAATACTGGTAAATATGTAGTACTATATATAGTATGTATGTGTTTCTTTCCTTATTACGATAATTACACTCACACAAATGCATTCCACATTATTTTCCATAGAAATAATCAAAATTAGTTAACAAAACCGAAAAGGCAATTGATTATCACTAATTATACCCTGAACAGGGTATATTAAGTTCGCCACGATCAGCATGATGAGCTGAGTTGATTTAGCCATGTCCGTCTGTCTGTATATATACAAACTAGTTCCTGAGTTTTAAGCTATCGATCTAAAATTTTGCACCTGTCCTTTTCTCACATAAAGCTGCTCTTTTGTCCGAACAGCCGATATCGGACCACTATAGCATATAGTTGCCATACAAACTGAACAATCGGAATGAAGTGCTTGTATGGAAAACTCTTTCATTTGACGAGGTATCTTCACGAAACTTGGCATAGATTATTATTTAAGGCAATAATCTAATCGCCTAAGAAATTGTATAGATCGGATGACTATATCATATAGCTGCCATACAAATTAAACGTTCGGAATCAAGTTCTTGTAAGGGGCCTTTGTATTTGTGAAGGGTATTATAGCTTCGGTGCAACCGAAGTTAACGTTTTTTCTTTTTTTTATTACAACTATGCTGACCAGTGCTTCTTACTATTAGCCAAGGAAACTGCGGTCATGCATAATAAAGTATCAAAAAAGTGCTAGAATGTATAAAAACAATTGGAAATGATTGTATGATTTCCTAAATTTGTATACGAATCATTTGCACTTGTTCGGGTTGAAATCATCTCTGCTTGACTTGGGCATGCTTTGTGGACGTTTTCCGCTAACCAGTGGCTACGCATGCGCGTTAATTCAAGATGGGCACCCATTAAACACGAATATACGGTCAGTGCGTTTAAAAATAACGTTTTTTTTCATGCTCAATTGCGAACACTGACACGTAGAATTCGGTCAATTCTTTTCGATTTTCTTAATATGTCAGTGCTCATTATAAGCAACGCTTTGAAGCAGCCTTTCTAACGAAGCTTCCTAAAGGTCCCAAATGGACTATTACAAAAAAATGCAAAGTATTTAAATACGAGTTATACGTTTGTGAAGATGTGGCGTGTTCTCCTTTTTGAAAAGAAACCACTGCTCAGTCTAAGAGAAGCTAAAATTTTGTTTAAAAAGGGATTAGATATATCTCTAAATACAATATGGAGGACTTCAGAGATCTGGCATCAAAGGCAGCAGAACTGTATTCAAACTCCTACTTTCAAAAACACACATGCAAAAAAGGTTGAATTGGGCGCGGGAAAACTTCAACCGTGGTTGGAGCAATACTGTGAGTCAACTTTTGTGTTGCTCAACCCTTTTAGGCGTGTTTGGGTATGAAAAACAAACATTTATTCAAAGGAGTGTTAAGTACACCCGAAAGGTGGAAAACCTGAACGCTGTTAGAATGATAAAATTGTAGAAAAAGCGTTTTCCGAAAACAGCTGAAATGCTTTACGGCAAAAATAACCATGATTGGATACAGCATGAAGCATGATACACTATGATCCGAAACACATGGACAGACTCGGTACTCAATGGAACAAGAAAAGTCACCAGACGTCAATCCAATAGAGAACGTTTGGGCTTTGATGAAAGCTAAAATAGCAAGAAAACATTTAACGTTAACCAAACACTTCATTCAGCTACTCCTACATACCTGACGGTCGCTTTCTATGGAATATGCAGAAAATTTAGTTGCAAGTTGCCATCAAAGATACCAGGCTATAATTCACAACCCGGGAGATTGGAGCAAGTATTGAATAAACGTCGGCTTTAACAAAGCAATGTATTTTCTATAATTTCAAAACTTTCCCAATAAACGCTACCTACGCTTTGAAAAACGAAAACGGGTTTTTTGAACATACTGTACATGCTCAACATATAACACACACAGGTAAACAAAATTAAACCTTTTCTTGTTTTATGAAGTTTCTAAACTGTATCTTACTTATTTGACGTCGGTGATTTCAAATCTACCCTCAATTTCTTTCTAGCAGCTCTAGTTTTAGTGATACAGGTATTTCTTGAAATATCGTTACTCGGCTTAATTGAATTAATTTTTAGGGCAAAAACTTACTAAATTTCATAAATAAACCGGTATGTCTACATTAAGAAGAACTTGTCATTTATATATAAATGTTCAGGGTGACTGTCTGTCCGTGCAAGCGATAACTTGAGTAAAAACTGATATATAATATCTTAATGACACTTGGTATTTTCGTTGGCACCTAAGAAGGGTTGATATTACAGATGGACGTAATCGGACCACTTCTACGCCCACAAAACACCATTAAATAAAATCCTCTAAAGAGTCATAACTGTGTACTAAATCAAGATACATAATTATGATTTGGTACAGAGGATCGCAGTGGTGAGAGGCACTTGTGGGCTAACCATTTTTAAAAGTGGGGGTGGCCCCGCCTTCAAAATGGTAAAATGTACATATCTTCCAAACTTCTGAACCTAGCTCAACCAAACCTGCTGAGAAAAAGTCTCTTCGGCATCTCTACATACACTATGAAAATTTATGAAATCAGATAGTAAACACCTTTTCCAAATATCGATTATGTTGAAAATTACTAAAAGTGAGATAACTCACTGAGTAAAAGAGCTACAAGCATTAAATTTCACAGCCAGGATGGCAGGAAAGAGCTTTATGGGAGCAGGTGTGAAAATTGGACAATGGGCGCGGCCTCGCCCACTTTTAGATGAAATCCTACATATCAGGAACTACTTGAACAGGTTCGCCTCCACGCGGTACATCTTGGGTAACGCTAAATGACCTGCGGCCTTTTAGACTCCTACGGATTTGACCTTTGCTCAACACGGGCATAGCTTGGATAAAATGGATCGGTTGAACGCTGGGCTGGTTGTCGTGGTATTCTGTCACCTGAGTATACAGGGGAAATGGCTGATAGGCAACTTTACCTATGGGGCCGAAATCGCCTTCTGTAAAGGGCCTTCTGTAATGATTCCGGGGTGCTTGGCATACCGTCGCTAGGGGCGGTAAGGCAGGAGGAGTCGGTAGGAACTGCCAGACGTAAAGAAACCACAGTTCAATAGGCTCGGATGCCATTCTAGGCACACCGTCTGAGAAAGCTCGGACATTAACGCAAGAGGGGGATCACTTTTTGATTTTATATGGGGTGTAGACCTGCCCGACTTTTGTGACAGCTAGAAGCGAGGAAGTCCTTGACGTTACGCTAGCCTCTAGAGAAAGTGCTCCCTTTTTCTCAGAATGGAGACTTTTAGACGACCATTCCTTCTCCGATCATAAATATATTGGTTTCAGCATGGACGCCTCGCGCTAGGAGCTCAAAACCTACAAGTATAGAAATTTCAGAAACACCAATTGGATTCTAAATTCAAAAAGCTTCGATTAGCTCTTCCAACCGCGCTCGACAGGGATTCGATCCTATCTGCGGAGGCGATTGAAGAGCTGGTCGAGGTTTTCAGAAGTGTTAGTAGAATTACTCTTGAAAGATTCTGTCGTCTGAGAACTCAAAAAAATAAAGGGAAACGGAGATCAGATCTTCGAGCAGAAGACTCTCCAACAAAGCCCCCAGAGCCTTCTGCGGCAGTGTAGAGGATTGTCATGAATCCTCACGGTTTAGGCAAATTCTTGCAAAAAATTCTACTCCATTGGGGTATCTGAGAAATACAGATAGTGGTTGCGCCACGAGCAGCGAGGAGTCGTTGAAGCTACTCCTGGATGTTCATTTTCCGCTGAATCGCTCTGCTGAAGAGGTGCCACTGGGGGAGCTTCAGAAGGGCTGTACAGCCTTCTTGAATCTTCTGGCTGAACGTCATCTACCCTTCAAGTCCCCGGGTCCTGATAGCATCATACCGGCACAACTACAGCGAACGGTCACACGTATCTCCCATATACCTTATACAAGATTTTCAAACTTCCTATTATTCTTATACTGATATATGGTACTTGGATATTGGATATACTTTCGTTTAATGTACTAAATATGTGAAATAATATTACACTTTCTTACATGTTCTAACAAACCGCTGAATATGTTTCGAGTTGGCTTAGACCTTGGTCTTAATCTCATAACCTTAATATCATGAATTGCGATCTTCTGGTTGACGCACATCAACTCAATAAATTGAATTTAGCCCCTTTGGTTTAGTTTATGTCAGATATTATATATCTCATTTGCGGATGCTTTTAACATAATTTTCGTCGAATAATTAAAAAATATTTTAAATATAAAGTTTTGCCAACAGCTGAAAATATTTCCCCGGCTTTGATCTTTGCAAGTTGCAAGAGTATGAAATGCTAAAATAGTTTTCCGTTATTTTTTGAACACACTGTAATGTTTCAAAGTGCTACCCTGTATGTAATAAATAAGTCTCGCACCACTTATTTAGACATTA